AATCATTGTGTTGTAAGAGACCACAAGGGCCACCCACTGTAGCCTAGTTCTGCCATGCAGGAAAATATAATCAAAACACCCAGACAAATGGCTTTTCTGTCTCTGCTTAAAAGTCTCCAGAGAAGGAGACTCCAACACACTTCAAGGCAACATACTCAATTTTTGAACAGCTCTAACCACCATGAAGTTGGGTTGCTGTGAGTTTACCAGGCTGTATGGCCATGTTCCAGAAGCATTCTTTCCTAACGTTTCACCTACATCTATGGCAGGCATCCCCAGAGGTTGTGAGGTATGTTGGAAACTAGGCAAGTAGGGTTTATATATCTGTGGAATGCCCAAGGTATGAGAAAGAACTCTTGCCCATTTTGTCTCTAAATTCAGGACAGTAAATCAAGAACAACACTCAGAAAACAGGAGAATTCTAGGCAGAAAACAATCGGGGCTAGTTAACACCTCCCAACAAAGGATTCCCCCAGGCAGGGAGCAGCCAGGCTTTGAAGCTGAAAGGCTATTCAATGCTAATTAAGGTGTCCAATTATGACATCCACACTTGCCTCAAGCAGACAAGAGTTCTTTCTCCCACCCTGGACTTTACATAGATATATAAACCCCACTTGCCTAGTTTCCAACAGACAGGCATGTAGCTGGGGGGGGGGGGGGGTTGGGGGGCTTCAGCACCCCCCCCCCCCGAAATTCTCATAGTGGCCCACGAGAAGGCCTTACTGGTGCATTATTTAAACTGTTATGTTTATTCAGATCATGAACTGATCACTATACTCAATATATCCCATATGCATGGGGGTATTGGGGTAACGATACAAAAGGTTTGCTAGGGTAGACCCTCTTTCGCTCAGACTCAGCCCCCCCCCCCCTCCCCGAATCAAAATCCTGGCTAGGGGCCTGCCAACAAACCTCACAACCTCTGAGGATACCTGTTATAGATGTGGATGAAATGTTAGCAGAGAATGCTTCTGGAACATAGCCATGCAGCCGAGAAAACTCACAGCAACCTAGTGGTTCCAGCCGTGAAAGCCTTTGACAACAAACTATGAAGTTCTTTCTAAAATTTAAGTGGAATATTTCCCCCTGCAATTTGAATCCATGCTCTATATCCTAATCTTCTTTGTTTCTGGACTGGCACAACCTGGGGATCACAACCAGACACAGTGAAGACATCTGCCCTTGTGCTATGTTACTCTGCTGCTGAGTATGCATGCCCAGTGTGGAAGACATCTCACCACGCTAAAACAGTGGATGTAGCTCTTAATGAGACATGCCGCATTATCACGGGGTGTCTGCGCCCTACGCCACTGGAGAAATTACACTGTCTAGCCAGTATTGCACCGGGAAGTAGCAACCAGTAGTGAAAGGACCAAGGCAGTGACATCTCCAGCTCATCCCTTGTTTGGGTATCAGCCAGCACGGCAACGACTTAAATAAGAAATAGTTTTCTAAGATCTACAGAGACACTTGCTGGAACACCCCAGCAAGCGAGAGTCCAAAAGTGGTAGGCTCAAACCCAGGACCTCAATCAATGGCTGAAACCAAATGAGAGACTCCTCCCTGGGCACACAGAAAACTGGGCGACTTGGAAGGCACTGAACAGACTGCGCTCTGGCACCATGAGATGCAGAGCCAACCTCAAGAAATGGGGCTACAAAGTGGAATCCACAACATGCGAGTGTGGAGAGGAGCAAACCACAAACCACCTGCTGCAATGTAACCTGAGCCTTGCTGCATGCACAATGGAGGACCTCCTTGTGGCAACACCAGAGGCACTCCAAGTGGCCAGATACTTGTCAAAGGACATTTAATCAACTACCGAGCTTGCAAACTTTGTGTTTTGTCTGTCTGTTTGTTTGGTTGTTTGTTTTGTCAAAAATGTAATACAACTGTCTGGTTGCTCCTGACGCGATAAATAAATAAATAAATCCTAATCTTTAGAGGAGTAGAAAACAAGCTTTCCCCTTCTTCAATGTGACATCCTTTCAAATATTGAAATGTCTCTGCCCTCTCTTCTCCAAGCTAAACATACCCACATCCTTCAGACTTTCAGCAGTCCTTCAAATAGCCTAGCCTGAAGTCATACATGGCTTTAAAATGAATAACCTGTACTTTCTATCTGCTCAGAAATGGGTCAGTAGCCGGTAAAGCTGTTCCAACAGTAGGGTTATATGCTTGCAGTATTCTATTCCTAACAGAAGTCTGGCTACGTTATTTGGGACACACTTCAGTTTCTGAACATTTTCAAGTGCAACCTCACACAAAATGTGTTATGGCAATTCAAATGGGATGCAATCAAGGAATGTGTTGCTGTAGATCAGTGGTTCCCAGCCTGTGTTCCATGGACCACCAGTGGTCCGCAATAATGAAATTATGGTCCACGGTTTCACCATTATTACACTGTTGCCTGAAAACAACACAGCAACAAGAGAGACTGGTCTTGCAAAACCCTCCTATAGTGCTGAAGTAACTGGGATGGTGGGCAGGGAGAGGCTGACTACCCACAAAAGAGTATGACTACCAGCTCTAGATTGTTAAATATGGTTTTCTGTGGGTGAGCAGATGGCAACTACCGGATGGCATATGTTCTGTATCAGAAACTTGAGCTGATGTGGTCTATCCAATGCAATTTTTCTGAATCAGCACCTTAAATAACCAATCCAAATGTAAAGTTCACCAAAAACTGATTCACAATCCTTTTGGTACTAATGTTGGAGAGTGGTCCCTGGTCAAAGTAGTCACTGTTTAAAGTGGTCCCTAATCAAGAGGTCAAAAAAAGGTTGGGAACCACTGCTGTAGATAGACTTCTTGGTTAATGGGCACAGAAGTCTTATAAAGTGAAAGAGGAAGAAGTCAATAAAAGTGGGAGTTTTTATTTTATTTTATGCCTTTTCAGCATGAATATGGACCCCAGATGGTCTGGGACAACCCCCCCCCCCCAAAAAAAAAACAGGGCTGTATACCCACCACAGTGGCTCACTGTTAATGCAGGCAGCATAAAATAAGATGGATCGGCGCTCTGACTGGTGACAAGGCAGGTTTGTGCTTTCAGAAAGCAGCTCGCTAGAGGGCTCTGCAGGCGCAGGAGGGGATGGTCCATGAGGGATATGCAAGGTTCCAATCTCCAGTCCTCATGTGGAGAAGGGTTCACATTTCGAACTATTTGGAGGGCGGCAGAGTGCTTGTGTACATGTGGAAGGGATCCCTTAAAAAGCAAAAGCATCTTTTGTATTTAGGTGGCTGACTTGAATGGTAACTGAAACCCTTTAAGCACCACTACTACTATTAGGATCTGTTTAATCCCAGAAAAGTGTCAGGTGCAGCCAGAGCTTGGAGAAATGACAACTCCCAGAAGAAAGTCTCTGATGCTGTGCACAAACTTTGAACACTCACAAAAAGAGAGACACAAATGCCCACACCACACAGCTGGAATGCAAATACAGTATTCAGGAAAAACAAAACACAGACGGTATGCTGCATGATGTATTTCAGGCCCCTTCCACTGTGATAGTCCATAGAATCCTGATTATCAAAGCAGATAATGCACATTATCTACTTTAAACTGACTCTACAGCAGGCCCGGACAAACTTAGGCCCTCCTGGTGTTTGGGACTTCAACTCCCACCATTCCTAACAGCCTCAGGTCCCTTCCTTTTCCCCCTCAGCTTAAGCGGCTGAGGGGGAAAAGGAAAGGGCCTGAGGCTGTTAGGAATGGTGGGAGTTGAAGTCCCAAACACCAGGAGGGCCGAATTTGGCCCATGCATGAGCAATCTTGACCTACTCATTTGCGTATGAATGAAACATGCAGAATAATCACAGGATGTCTTAAACCTACACCTGTTGAAAAACTGTACAAGCTAGCTGGCTAGCTTCCCCCCCACTCCCCGATGTGTGATGGGAAGTTGCTGCTAAATGTGAGAGAAATAAGGTTGAACACTCTGAAAGCCACCCACTGCAAGGCTACCAGCCTCCTCCCAGTAGACTCAAATCAAGGAAAAGCTTTAAGGAGAACTACCACTCCTCTTGGCATCCCCCCAGCAACAGCAAGGGTATCCCTCTGGGCAGCTAAACCAGGAAATCCCAACGGGATGGCCCCCTACAAGGATCTTCTCTCAGGCGCAAACCAAGAATGGGAAACTTGGAAGTCTCTGGACAGGCTCAGAAGTGGAGTGGGCAGATCAAAAGACAACCTGGCGAAATGGCACTACCTAAAAGAATCACACACCTTGTGTGACTGTGGAGCAGAACAGACAACTCTCCATCTGTATGCTTGTCCACTATGCCCTGCCTCATGTACAGAGGAAGAATTGTTGGAGGCTACAGACAATGCCATTGCTGTTGCCCATTTTTGGTCAAAAGATATTTCGCCACCTGCATTCCTTCTATTTTTATCAGTTTTATACTAATTTATGCAATGCTTTTGATACAAAATAAATAAATAAAATTTGCATATGGTTTCTGATTGGCCAGCCTCAACATTCTAACATTCTTAAGCAGCTGAGGGGGGAAAGGAAGGGTCCTGAGGCTGTGAGGAATGGTGGGAGTTGGAGTCCAAAACACCTGAAGGGCCCAAGTTGGCCCATGCATGAGCTATCTCGACCTACTAATTTGCATATGGTTTCTGATTGGCTAACCTCAACATTCTAACATTCTTAAGCGGCTGAGGGGGAATGGTGGGAGTTGCAGTCCAAAACATTTGGAGGGAGGGCCTAAGTTTGCCCAGGCTCTGTCCTTGCTCCTAGAATCATAAAGTTGGAAGAGACCTCATGGGCCATCCAGTCCAACCCCCTGCCAAGAAGCAGGAAAATCGCATTCAAAGCACCCCCGACAGATGGCCATCCAGCCTCTGTTTAAAAGCTTCCAAAGGAGGAGCCTCTACCACACTCCGGGGCAGAGAGTTGCACTGCTGAACAGTTCTCTCTCACAGTCAGGAAGTTCTTCCTTGGCATCAGTGAGCAGCAAGAGCGCATATGCCTTTCCCATCCATTTCTGCTTACCTGCCCCGAGCTGCCCAGACACTACATACTCCAGAAAGACCATCAGGGCGATGCTTTGGCGCGGCATGATGGCTCCACCGCGGAAATCCGTGAGGATGAGGAGGACACGGGTCTTTTTACAAGCCTTTTGCCCACGCGAGCATTGGGAAGGAGCCCTTCCTTCCCCTCGGCGTCTGGTGTCTTTGCTTCTCCCTCGGTTTCCCTTTCCCTGGGCTTGTGATGCTCGTCCTAAGGAAGGCAGGCAGGCAGGGTTGTGATTGTGTCTGTTCCTCCGAGAGGTCTCTCGCTCGGCTCCCGTGGACTGCGCCTCTCTCTCTCTCTCTCTCTCTCTCTCTCTCTCTCTCCCTTCGCCGGCCTTTGCCTTGGAATAAATAAATCCCGGCGACGGCTGCTTAGAGGTGGCAGCGGCGGGTCCCCTCCTCCTCCTCCTCCTCCTCCTCCTGCTTCCCTCCCTCCCTCCCTGCCCCTCCGGAGACAGAGGTGAAGTTCACATGCTGTGGGCGCTGCTAAGGAGGAAGGCAAGGCAGGCAAGCAGGAGGGCCACCCTCACGCCCCGCTTCCACCTCTCCCCCTCTGCCCTGCCTCTCCCCCTCCCTCACTTTCTCTCCCCCCCCTTCCCTGTATTCCCCTCCCTCTCTCCCTTCTTTTCATCCCACCTCTCTCTCCAAATATAGGCAGTCCCCGAGTTACAAACATCCGACTTATGAACGACTCCCAGAAAACAGGAAATGAGAGGCATTCACTCCAGAAAGAGTTCTCATGGGGGAAAGGTGCCTCCACTAAAGCTTTCTCCCCTATCCTTGTTTTCACAACAAGCCATTTTTTTTTCCAAAATCCAATTCTCACACTGGCAACGAAGATCCGCATAATTAAAGCAAAATTAAAGCAATGGTATTCTCCATAGTAACCTATGGATGTGAGAGTTGGACAATAAGGAAGGCTTAGAAAAGGAGGGTTGATGCTTTTGAACTGGGGTGTTGGAGGAAAGTTCTGAGAGTGCCTTGGACTGTAAGAAGATCAAACCTGTCCATACTCCAGGAAATAATGCCCGGCTGCTCACTGGAGGGAAGGATATTGGAGGCAAAGATGCAGTACTTTGGCCACATAATGAGAAGACAGGAAAGCTTAGAGAGGACAATGTTGCTGGGGAAAATGGAAGGAAAAGGAAAGAGGGGCCAACCAAGGGCAAGATGGATGGATGGGATCCTTGAAGTGACTGGCTTGACTCTGAAGGAGCTGGGGGTGGCCATGGCTGACAGGGAGCTCTGGCATGGGCTGGTCCATGAGGTCATGAAGCAACTGAAGAACAACCAATTCTCACAGGGACAGAAAATAAGGCAAAATCTTCTGAACAGGCACAGGCAGCAAAACAAATGTCACAGGAGTGTTAACTCTTCCCTATGCTATCCAAAGCTCCCTCTCCCCCCCCCCCTCTTAGATCTATGGTTCCCAACCTGTGGTCCATGGTCCACCAGTGGTCCGCAAGAACTAAAATAAGATCCACGGCCTCACCATTACTACACCATTGCAACGAGAGCGACTGGTCTCATGAAATGTCTTATAGTGTCAAGGCTTATTAAATATGGTTTTCTGTGGGAGAGCAGATGGCGCCTACTGGATGGCATATGTTCTGTATCAGAAACTAGAGCTGATGTGGTCTTTCCAATGCAATTTTTTGAATCAGCACCCCAATTAACCAAACCAAATCTAAAGTTGATTACAAACTGATTCATAATCCTTTTGGTACTAATGTTAAGAGTTGTCCCTGGTCAAAAAAAGGTTTGGAACCACTGCTCTGTTACACTGAAAAAATGTACCTGTTCTGACTTACATACAAATTCAACTTAAGAACAAACCCATAGAACCTCTCTTGTTTGTAACTTGGGGACTGTGGTATAGAGACTCCCAAGCAAACATAGCAGGATGCAGCTGAAAACACAGCAAATACATTAAATTATTATTATTTGAAACACAACAAGATGAGTTCACAGCAGACACTCTGCTGGCTGTTGTATTGGATCACACATCAGACACCTCCCAATGGTCTAGGACTCTGTGATGTATTGGCGAATAATGCATGCAGATCCCAGTAAGGTGGCCTTTTGCAGCTCGCAGATGGTCATTTTGTCAGTGCCGATTGTGTTTAAGTGCAGGCCAAGGTCTTTAGGCACTGCACCCAGTGTGCCGATCACCACTGGGGCCACCTTGACTGGCTTGTGCCAGAGTCTTTGCAGTTTGATCTTTAAATCCTAGTATTATTATTATTATTATTATTATTATTTTATTAATATCCTGCTGCCTCTCTTTACAAAAGCGACAACCTAAGAATATACAAACATTAAAATAGGTCTAAATACTAATGATATTAAAAAGTAAACCGTTAAAATCTTGAAAGACTGGTTAAAAATCACTCCACGCTTTTAAAAACCGCAACAGGCCCTGACTTGGGCTTAGAAACCCCTTTCTTTAAGAGCCTGCCTGAATAAAAAGGGTTGAGCTTGCTATCAGGAGGATAACAGGGGCTTCCCCTGGGCAAGGAGTATGTAGGAATAATATAACCATTTACAAACAGTTGCATCGATTGTGCCCTGGAGCAGGAGAAATACTAAAATGCAAGTCAAGCTACATTTAAAAATAATAATAATAAATAAACCTTTATTTGCACCCCGCTACCATCTCCCGAAGGACTCGGTGCGGCTTACAAGAGGCCGAGCCCAACCCCCTCAAAACACAGTCCCCTCAAAAGACTCCCCCCCCCCATCCTGAGCAGCCTGCCTCTCATCACCCTCTTCCTCTCCTCTCTCCTCGCCTCCCTTTCTCTTTCTCTATCTCCCTCCTTCCTCTCTTCTCTCTCCTTTTCCCTCTCTTTCTCCCCCTCTCTAACCCTTCCAAACCTGGTCCTTGGCAGGCCTTTGTTTGGGGCAACCCCCCCCCCCTCTTTGCCTTCCAGGCAGATGGAGGCAAGGCAAACAAGGGCGGGGAGGCTGCTTCCCAACGGGTTCCCGCGAAGATGCTCAGAAAGTCACCCTAAGCGACCCCCCTGCCAAGCGACCCCCTGCCCTGCCCTTCCTTGCTGCCCCTTCCTCCTTCCCTCCCTTCAGAGCCAGGGCGGCGGGGGAAGCCGCGCACGGGCAGGTTCCCATCCACACAGACACACACACGCCCCGTCTACACAATGCGCTTCGGTCCCGACGCGGGATTAGGGAGGATTTAGGTCTTCTTTCCGGCCCGGCGGAAGAGCCAGAAAAGACATCAACAGAAGCGCGTGGGTTGCCCGAGGGAGGAGGAGGAGGAGGGGGGGGGCTCTTTCCCAGATAGAGAGAGGGAGGGAGGGAGGGAGTCCCCTCTTTCACCCCACAGCCCTGGCCGTGGGGATGAGCCCCTTTGCGTCTCGTGTTGCTGTCACACAGGCGCCCCAATTGGCTGAATATGGGGGGGGGGGGGGGTTCAATTTTGGATTTGACTGAGTTTTGTTTCGTGTAATCCTTATTTTCTAGGGCAGGAGGAGATGTGCCTCTGGCTTGGCTTGAGATTTTTTGCCTCCTCCTCCTTCCCTTTCTAAAGCTCTTGTTGCTTCGAGAACCGGGCTTTCCTACACTTTTCCTGGAGACGGTCGGCACGGGAGATTTCTGTGTGTTTGTTTGTTGACTCGCCTTGAAATGCAACACGCGAAGACCAGCGGGGAGGCTGCTCTTGCTTGCTCGCCTTTGGCTTGCCCTCCGGCCTGAGTCCATTAGTATCGCCGCAGCGCCCCCTGCCGGTGAAGCCGAGAACAACAACAACAAAGAGCGCCGCCTTGAATTAGTTGTTTGTTTGTTTGCTGTCCCCTGCCACGCGTTGCTGTGGCCCAGTCTGGTGATATAGAAAATAAAGTAATTAGAAAGGGTTGGTTTCTACTATATGTAATTTCTTTATGCTTGTGGGTAAACAGTATTTTTTGCTGTTTCTTTGTCAAGTGTTGATGTGGAGATTGATTTGCCTACTCTGGAACACGCAACATATCATTGTCCTTCTTTAGGGGTCCCTTTCAAATCTGCTATACTATATCTGTGTGTGAATCATATATATCTATCTCTATCTATGGCTGGATGGCTCTTTGTCAGGAGGGCTTTGATTACGTTTTCTTGCCCTGGTGAAGGGAGTTGGATTGGATGGCCTTAAATATTTTCTGTTGGTCATGCGGGTTCAGTGTGGGAAGTTTGCCCCAATTCTGCCATTGGTGGGGTTCAGAATGCTCTTTGATTGTAGGTGAACTATAAATCAGAGTAACTACAACTCCCAAATGTCAGAGTACACAGACCAGACGCGGTTTTTGCTAGGTTTCTGCCAGCAAAATTTTAAAGTACTAGTCTTTTAAATCTTGAACGGGTTTTGGTTAACATTGGATTGTATTTAATGTGTTTATAGAGGTTGTATGTTTTTGATGTCATGGCCTATGGCTAGTGCAATAAACTTTATTCACAGAACTCCCAAATGTCAAGTACAACTAAAGTACAACTCCCTATTTTCCCCAAACTCTATCTCACCCCCATTCTTAACTAGGAGTCATTTGTCAGTTGGATGTTTGTTATTCAGGGACTGCCTGTATTTCTTTTGTGGGCTGCCTCCTGCTCTATGGTCAATCTGTGCTGATAGCAATGCTGACTAGTGTTTCATTTTCAGATTATGTAGAAATTATTTCCTTAAGAAACAGATGCGACACAAAGCTTCTCCTTAAAATAGTGTCATGGCCATTGAACCCGTGATAATGACTGCTTACCAGATCCATAAGGGTTTGGTAGATGTTCTAATCTCTTTTTGCATTATCTATGATTGACTGTGCATGTGAACATTCACGCCAATGTAATCAGAGGTAAAATGTCCATTTTTAATCTTCTTTCATCAATGTATCTTCTTCAAATGTCCTATTCTGCAGCCCTCTGATAACAGGCTTATCTCTCCCCCCCCCCCCACATACATATACACACTCCATCTAAATGCTTGTGATTTAATTCCTTGATCAATAAAGATATTTCATTATACTGTACATATTTCTCCCTGAGGTATTTTTGGGCTAAGTGTCTGGGAGATATAAGATAAAGCCCAATTGTGAGGCTGCTGGACCCTTCCTTGCCCATGTAATGCTTTTATACCAGAAGCTAGGTTAGGTTCTTGCATGTTTGCTTGCCTGGCTGAACCTGGGAGTCATCTGTTGTATTAATGCAGTTTGAGACTAGTTTACATGCCATAGTTCAAAAATATGGACTAATAGCAGTTGCAGTTTTGCAAGGTTTGTAGCCATCTCTGCTAAACAGTGGTGGTGCCTGACCAAACAATACCTCCCATGAGTCCATAGCATTGAGCCATGACAGTTGAGGTGTCACACTGCATTAGTTCTACAGTGTAGAAGCACCCCTTGTTTGGATTCAGTCCTGCCATTTGCTGAGGTACAAGCTGAGATCCCCACAGGATTTCTTACAGAGATGTTCTCGTCATGTGTATGCAACGTATTAGGAAACTGGAAGCTTTCCTGGCACAACTTCTATGATCCAACCTGATAATATATATATGCACACAGACATGCACAAAATCAATCCACCTTCAAAATTGGAATGGACCATTAATTTCAGCTTAGTTTCAGAGAACCTCAAAAGTTACTTTACTACACTGGTCCATACTGGCAGCCAATCTCACTCAGTATTACTTGCCTATATTAGGAATGGTCAAAGTTTTGCCCACAAGCCACATGCTGACCCTAACCCTCTTTTGTTTATAATGTGATGCTCACCTGATTTTTTTTTAAAAATCTATTCAATTGTCCTCATGGTTTGCTACAAAAATTAGCATTTTTATCACATTGCTAACGAGGAAAGGAATTATTAATGACAAATGAGGTGTAATGTCACATTATGGCAATGCATCTCATTTAGTGGTCATTGTAGAAGGTATGACTAGTAAAAACTTGACCAGGAATACAAGAACAGGAACATAGTAAACCTCCAGGATATTTAAATGCAAAACCAAGGCTTGACTTGAACCGAGAACCAGGGAACCCGGGGTTAGCTTCTTACTCAAACCCTACATTGCCTGAACTGACCTTAAGGCAAACAACTTGTTATTTAATAGACACCCATGACATCATTTTATTTCCCATGAATTTTGTCCACGACTTTCCCACGTAATCTCTCTGAACAACACAGTCTATTTTCTGCTCTGATCTGTAAGCAAAGACTTTTGTTGATCTCCATGAGAGGTGGTTTCTCCTGGGAACCCTCCTTATCACTCAGCTCTTCACTCGATTCCTTATCTGCTGTTGCTACTGATGACTCCCCTGAATGCCCTTGAAGCCCTGTACTTTCCAAGCCAGTTTTCTCACAGAGAGAACCACCATTTCCCTGACCTGAATATCCCAGAGTTGAGGGCCCATCACTTTGTGCCACAGGAAAGCTCACAATCCTCTCTCAATCATCAGTTAAACCATCAATTTCTGGCTGATCTGCAACATAGACAGCTTTTGACTAACAGTCTCACACAAATTGCAGGTGGAGACTGTGATTTAAAATAAAACTGATGATTGGACTTGTTCTGGGGATTTCTTCAAACAAATGTTTCTTAAATAAATACAATATAATGAATAAATAATCTGGGAGAAAGGGCCAGAAGTGTGTGAGAAAAGCTCAAAACAAATTAAAAGAGAGATCTAGATATTCATTCATAAGTTTGTATTGCATTATAAGGATATGCTTTGCTCTAAAATATTCTTTCAAAAGAACTCCAGGATCCATAATGGGCTGAAGACAGTGAATATTTGTAACAATGTGCACAAAGTACAGGAACAGGCCAAATTTGGTTTCAAAGGGGAAAGTTCACCTCATGCACAAAACCAACTAGAGAATAAACAGTTGGAGCTGTGAATGATTCCTGAGGAGGAGGTGGCAGGAGAAACCAATAGGATTGTGTGCCAATCAAAATACCTTTTCTTCAGTGTGTTGGAGACACACCCACACAAAAATGAGAGGATAGTCTGCTTTCACCACAGGTCACCTCTGAGTATTGCTACAATTCCTGCTGAATAATTTCCAGGTCTCTTCCCTTAGAGAGAGTTCCTCTCTGAACTGTCTTCTGCTGCTGAGGATATTGCATCATAAGTCATGTCCACCCTGAAAGAAATTTGTGGTGGGCTCCCCTTGTACCCAATTCCTGAGAACAGAGGCCGAACAGCAGGGATCCCCCATGCTCCGGTCAGGACCCCCAACCTCACTGTCCAGGAAAAAAAGGTAAGAGAGCATTGGTATTCCTCTTCTCTGGGAACATGTCAGATAAAACCCAGTGGAAGGCAACCTGTATTTCCAGCATTCCAGAATTCCCAAAGTCCAGGAAGGTAACTCACTGTCATAAATGGCAACATGGAAAAATAGCAAAGATATCAAAAAGGAGAGGCCCCTCTTTTCTTGTTTCTCTTCTATGCATGTGCACCAACCTCCAAAAGGCAAAGTTCTTGAGTCACTTAGAAGAAAGACCTCAATATTATTTTATTTCACTTTTAGAAATTTAGTTCTTTAAAATTAGAGCACAGTATGGTGCCCAAAAGCAGTACATTCGTGCTGACCTCATAAGGAGGAGAAGAGAGAAAGGGTGAAATGCCACTCTTCCCACAAGAATCAGGTAAAAGCAGAGAGCTGCAGCATCTCCAGGCTTGTTTGTTTCCTCTCATTAATAAAGTTGGCCAATTTGATCTTGATCTGATTATGCTTGACTACATATGTTCCAGTTTGGAGGGTTTGCTGTATATGTAGTGGGAATAGTTGATCAATGGCATTGATTATGCCACAGGGCAGCAATGGAGTGGATGGGCTCATTGTTGGCATAGGCGATGTAGTGCTTGCTCAAAACTAATAACTTAGACTTTAAGAGCAAAATATTTCCAAGTTATCTGCTATGCAGTTATAATCATGATAAGGGATTGAAAGAACGGGTGTAGAGTCTTTGGGTAAGCAGGATAGATCGGTTCCACTTTTCCAGACATTTCAAGAGATTCTTTAAATAAATTCAGTGTCTGCTTTATCTACTCTTCCTATAGCAGACATACACAACTTTAGTGTCAGCCTGCATGGTTTTAGGGAGGGAGAAGGCAGAGAAGGAAGTCTCTGCAACAGTTCATGCCAATTGGAGAAGATTAACTTAGATTTCTAAAACAGGTTGCCATCAATCTTTTTGAACATACCGTATTTCTAATAAAGAGAAACCGCTACAAGGATATAATATAATATAAAATAATATTTTAGGGAAATCAGGCACTGGGATATTCAGCTGAGACACAGGCTACAGCAGCTGGGTTAATGATTTGCTCTTCAGTTGTGTAACCATCTCTTTTCATTTTATTTGAGCAGGCAACTACTCCCCTAAGCTGTAAATGAACCCTGGTATTAATATTACTTTAGGCTCAGCCAGCATTCTGTGTCCATTAAGCAGGCTCAATCATTGCACTGTCCAAGGGGTTTCCTTTCCCTTTCCCCCCCCTAATTTTGTTGTTCTTTCAAACTTTCCTCCTATATATTGAAGAACAGGGGGTTCAGGAAATGTCTTTGCTAGTAGTATAAAGGGTCAAAGGTAGTAGTATCATTTATTGGAATAGTAGGGGCCGTTTTAGTAGTAAAAATAGTAAAATGCCCTCATGCTTGCTTTATATTATGAGAAATATGCCAGTTAATATAAGCTGAGGATCAAAGCTGGATATCTGCATCACTTTCCTCCCAATTTATATTTGTAATAATAACCCTAAAGTGTTCCCATATTTTGGTTTCATCTGGCAATAACAGAAAGACTTCATGAGAGATTTACAAAGCTCTGTGTGCTTTGGGATCTTCGGAAGAGCTCTTTCTTCCATCCAAAGTTTAATCTCCTTGGATAAAGTAAAGGATATCTGCCAGGCTTTTTCCATATACATTTCCTGGCTCCCTCTGCTTCTGAGCTCTTTTGTTGCTTGAGGCTTCAAACAGCAACATCCCCCATCTTATTTTCTCACCCCCTGAAGCTTAAGGCTCTCTGCTCTCTCATTTCCAGTCTCCAGAAAACATTTTCTTCACCTTACCAATTAGAGAGGGCTTGTCATGCTGCTCTCGTGCTGCAAAAACAACCATTTCTTAACTTCAAAATTCAGTTATGCTAATGTGTTACGTTCCATGTTACAGGACTTTTTTCTGCATGCTCTTCATTTGAAATGCTATATATATATATATATACACCGTATATCTGTATGGATTGTGTGTGTGTTTTTAAAATGCATGCATTACTGGACCTTGCACTTTTTAGAAATCTATGTTGTGGTGTGTGTTTTTTAAAGCGAGCATGTTGTCTAACATAATGCTTCTTATACTGTGCATTCTTACTGGTAGCAGTAAAAGGTTTCTGAACAGCACCCATTTACACAGATCTGTTAGCAATAACAAGTAGTGTTTACAGTGGATGCTGCAGAAGATGCTTCAGCTGTACTCCACAAAAAGGCAAGTCAGTCTGTTTAGCAAGTCTTGCAAATGCTGATTTATTATCAGTAAATGTTTATTTTTTATACCTATTTAATATACACATTGGGTTTTGTAAACTGTTCCAACTCTATCATTCTCTGATTCTACGAAAACCTTTTTAGGCAGAAAGGAGTTGCAGGTGAAAAGGATTTAAGAAGTCCTGGTCTAACAATGCATTCAGCACAGGAAATGTGTGGCTTTTTCAACTGCAAATTCTTTGTTACCTTTTAATAAGAATAATAGTTTATCTCTTGCCCACCTCTCCTCATGACTCAAAACAGGTTACAGCACTACTAAAACATAAACAAACACATAACCATTTAAAAACATTTCATAAAATACACATATTAAAACATACCTCCATAAAATATGTTTCAAAACACACAAAACAAAAACAGGCTTTAGAGTTTATAATTCACAATTAAAACTGCCTGGGTAGGCCTGCCAAAGGAGATAGGTCTTCACTTATATTTTAAATTTCGACAGGTGATCCAGCTGTCGGAGCTCAACCAGCAGGCCATTCCATAGTCATCATGCCCCCCCTCCCGAGGACCTAAGCGTGTGGGGTGGATTCTATGGGAGAAGGAGATTCTTTAGGTAACCCAGACCCAAACCATGTAGGGCCTTAAAGGTCAAACCCAACACATTGTACTTTGCCTGGAAACTAATTGGCAGCGAATGGAGTGACTTTAGGATAGGCATAATATGCTAATCCCTAGATGTTCCTGTAACCAGTCTGGTTGCTGTATTTTGAACTAATTGGACTTTCTGAACTTGGTACAAAGGTAGCCCCTTGTGCAGAAGTCCAACCTTGACTTCCAAATCTTCCAAATCTAGGAAGGAGCACAGCTGGTGTATCAGGTGAAGCTGTTAGTAAGCACTCCTGACTGTCACATCTACCTGGGCTGACATTTGGAGAGGTGGACCTAGGAGCACTCTAAGCCGTGAACACAGTCTTTCAGGGGAGTGTGTCCACATCCAGGACTGGTTGATACATCTCCATTCCCAGATTAGGGCCCTTGATGGCAAGCACCTCTGTTTTTTTTGGATTCAGTTTCAATTTGATTGTCCTAATCCAGCTCATTACTTCTTCCAGGCATTCATTCGGAGGAGACATGCTATTCTTTGCTCTAGCTGCTTTTGAAGGCATGGAGAAATATATTAGCCTGTCATCAGTGTACTGATAACATCCTGCCCTATGCCTCTGGATGATCTCTCCAAGTGGTCTCATGTAAATATTAAAAAGTATTGGGGAAAGAATGGCACCTTGTGGGATACCACATTTCAGCTCCTTTTTGAGGAGTAGCTATCCATATGGAACCTGCCTGAGTGGTAAGACCGAAATCATGGCAGTACAGCACCCCTGATTCCCAGCGCCCCCCCCCCCCAGCATTTCAGAACGATACCAGGGTCAATGGTATCAAAGGCCACTGAGAGCTCTAGAAGCACCAATAGGGACACACTCCCCGTGTCAATATTGAGGCGGAGATCATCCACCAAGGGGGCTACAGCATTCTCAACTCTGTATCCTGCTCTGAAGTCATTTTGAAATGGGTCAAAGAAGTGTGTGTCATCCAAGACCTTTTGTCTCAAAGTGCATAACTTGGTAAAACTAACTTGATAAAGGGCATTTAAAAATGTCTACAGCTTCAGGTCCCATTTTGCTCACCTTGTGTTTCCCATACATAGTTTCAGACTTTGTACATTTAAAATGGGAGCTGAATGCAACTGGCTGTTTGATTTGGTAAGAATGATACTTCTTTTGGACGCATGTGTGAGGGTTTTTCTTTTAAAACCCTCACAGCACTTCACAAGCTCTTCACATTATTGATTTAATATGTAATATTCCATCTGCTGCTGCTGCTAGCATCATTCTCATCTTGTATATTCATTTGCTAACCATATGATGTTGCCCATCCATCAAACATGCACTTCATCTTTGTGTTTTAAACAGAGCCTGTTTTGAACTGATATGTGGAGCCAAGAGGCTTTCATCTCTGAAAATGTAACTTCCTGCAAATTAGTCAAAAGGCCATGTTAACTTGTCTGTCAAAGCTCTTTCTTGTGAGCAAAACCAGCCTCTGCAGTAATATGTCAAAGGGAAGTGAATTCTCTAATGAAAAGCCTTCCCCTGGGAAAGAACATAGTTGTGTACATTGGAGAGGACTAGCAGTCAAATTGCAGAGGAATGTACTCTCTTAGATCACTGCATTGGAGTCATTGAATATACAATACTCACTAGGCTCAGTTTTGTACACTGTTTTAGTAGTAGGCAATATCAGGTGCAGTAGACTATATTTCAGTGAAAGGAACTGGCAAAACTACTTCTGAGTATTCCTGGCCTAAGAAAAATCCATGAAATTCATAAGATAACAGGCAATTATTTTATTTATTTATTATTGACATCATTTTTACCCCACTCTTTTCACCCCTGCAGGGGGGCTCAGAGCGGCTCACAATAGCAGTGATTCGATGCCGCAATACTTACAATTATAAAAGCAAAATAATATCATACCATACAACACATTAAAACAACATTAATTATCAATCATAAAAACATTTCCATTATAACAATCGTCGTCTGGTCCAATACACTGTTCAGGTGCTGTTATATCCATTAGTCAAAAGCCTGATTCCACAACCACATCTTCAGTTTTCATCTGAAAGAAAGGAGGGAGGGTGCTGATCTAATTTCGCTGGGGAGCGAATTCCACAGGCAACTCAAAAGTTCAAAAATGAGAAGTCACCAGAAG